GGCTTCAGAGGAACAAGGATTGAAAGTTCATCACCTCAGTACTCAATGGAAAGAGGTAGGTAATACAGAGCATCTACAGTTGGTGGGCTCTCTGCTTGTTTCTAGGTACCAGCTAAGCTGACTACCTTTATAGGATCTGAACAAATCCTTAGTAATTAAGCTAACAGACACTTTGATACAGTATTCAGGATTTTGCAGAGAGGTTACACATGTAGCTTTTTGTTCTAAAAAGCCTTTTGTAGATATTTTATTGGCATAATCACTGTCACTTTAGGAAAGTGTTTTTCTTACTCATTCAGAGCACATTCCAAATCAGATTGGTACTTTGAGTGGATTCTGGTGCTTCTGACCATTCCCAATACCTGTGACAGGAAACATCCGTTGTACCTTTTGATAACTATGAGGTTCAGCTCTCCTGTGCTCGCATGAGTTCCTCTCCCTGAAGTGTTTTTCAAATGCATCTAAAAACTTGCATCATTTTGCTGGCTGCATTTATCCCAGAGTCGCTTTCCTACTGGAGTTCTGTGAGGACAGAAAATCTTGGAGTTTATGAGAGCCAGTCTATTCAGTTAGAAGTGTTTGTGTTTACAATGATCAATACTTTGAAATTCTCTCATAAAACAGCAATGCTACCGAGTGCTTCAATAGGAGGTTCAGTCATTTACAGCCTTTACAGCTGTTGGTCTAGGAAGAGGTTGAAGCATCTTGCTTTCAGCAAAGAATGAATGAAGATTTTCATCTGAATACTGTGAAGCTTAAGCTTGATTTCTTTCATATTGGATTCTGCACCAAAAAGATACTGCTTTGCCAGAAATTAGTTGAGGAGAATATAGGGAAGTACTGCATTAAGTTGATACTAGGAGAAATGGTGTACGTATGGGTCACTGGCATCTGAGCAAAGAAATGGGCTGAGTGACACTTGTGTATTTGTTTGACAGCAGTAATAAGCGGGAGGATAACTGGAACAAAAGGCAGGTGGTTCCTTCTATCGACATTGGTTTTGTGGTTGGTTTGTTTTGGTGTTGGGGTGACCTCTTGTGATGTTCAGGTAGGCAGACAATGTCTTGAATTCTTCATACATTGGTATAATCAGTTGAGATCAACTTGTGTCTCTCCTTCTACCAATTAAAACTCAGTAACACCCCAACCTTGTCTGCCTTGGATTTGTAGATCAAGCTAGCCAAAAACACATCTAGGTACAGACCCACCACTTAAACCATTAAATGAGTGCAGTTTATCACGTGGCAAAACAAATCTGCTCCGAAGAGGTGAGGTGTATGGTGTAGGTTTCTCCATGAATTTCTCTCTTGGATTGACCAAAGATCACTTTTATTAACTTTTTCTATTTCAAATATATCTTGACAATTGAGACAAGACAGTGCTACCAGCTTGGCTTGAAACATGTCTTTTTATATCAAGTGAGCTGTTCATGATGCAATTTTGTCACTGACTCCAAAGTCTCCTCCCATTCTGTCTCTCCCAGCCTGGGACCATAAATAGAAACCTATTCCTTGCCCATCCCAAGTTCTTGGCTTGGAGCTGTATTTCTTGGCTTTATTCAGTGGGTTGTTTACAGTACTTAAACCTTGCACCACTCTGTGGGAGGCCCGAAGACTAACTATGGCTCTGCGCTTAGCTCAAGCAAACCACGTTATTAAGAGTCTGGTTGCTTGGAGGAGAGGAACACCTAGGAATGGCATGTAGTTTGGTTGCCTGCATTTCACCAAAGCCATATGTGAGCTGTCTGAGCCTTTTAAACTGGTGTTTTCATGGCCACATGTGTCAGCAGAAAGACTAGGTGGTCCATTTAGGTAAGGGCTTAAGACCGTTAGAGGGTAAAGAGAGGTCAGAGGTCTGCCTCTCCGCTACCACGTTATTAGACAGCAGAACTTGGCCCGTCAGCATTGGTTTGCTTTTTAGTATGTAGTTTGCCTGGAGTATTTTTGGTTAGTAGGGAGTGCTGAGACTTGGCTTCAGAAACAACGCTGCTGTAGAACTTGATACCGTTCCAATTGTGTCAGCAAAATAGGAAACCCACTTGCTGCTGTGTTATCAGTTCCGTTTCCTCATGTTCATTAAGGCAGAAATCCTGGCTGAAGATCTTGAAGTCTAATGATGCACAGTGATGGAAGTTTGGAAGATGCAGTGGGAAATGCCAATTATCCTAGCAGTCATTAGTTACTCGATGGTCTGCTTTCTCTGCTCTAAGTTGACCAATACCTGTTCTTTGGTAATCTTAAAAGCAAGCATAGAAAACGACGCTGCATGTAAAACAGCATTGTGAATATTTATATTGGTATTTAGTTTGAAAACTCAGAGCAAAAATAAGGTGAAAGGTGGGGCATACACAGGCATCTTGGTGGCCTTGTATTTAAATTTCCCACTGTGAAAGGGAGGCATGTGAGAAGCCAGAACACCGTGTGTGTATCTGTATACACACATGGTTACACCTGATGGTTTTTGATGTAAAATGCTAAGATATTAGATTGAGACTGTAGGCAATAACCAGCATTTACCCCATAACCCTTTCTTTGTCTCCCTTCGACTGACAGTCAGTCGCTTTGACTTGCTGCCAACACCCCACATCCTTTTCAGAGCTCTATTTCCATTGACACATTCTTTTGTTTAAGAGAAGTTGGCAGTTGGTTCATAAATGCAGATTATAGCAAACTTTATAGAAGCTCCCTGAACTGTACATTTCAGAGTGACTTAGCCAGCAAGATTTTCTTATATTCAACTTTTCCCCCACCACTCGAAGAACCAGAGAAGTGCTGCTAAATGGATGATTTCAGTTGTACAGGAAGGGTAACCACTCTCAGGGGACGGCTCTGAAGGGCACCACCGGGAATAGCCTACAGAGCTGGGAAGAGCTGCTGTGCCTGAAAGGTGGATTCTCCCACCGAGGAAGTTGAGTATACCAGAATGAAGGTTTCATATTGCGCTCTTAACTGTGGAGGGAATAGGAACAGGATGCAGATGTCAAGGTGATGGCCTGCAGCGTAAAATAGCTATCTAGGAAAATCAGTTGTAAAGGAAGTAACGCTCATCTAGAGGGTAGAAATGTGTCTGATGTTATTCTCCCTGCTGCGCTTGCCAGGACCTTATGAACAGCTACACATTGTGCAGGAACACCCCATGTCTTTCCCACTAGGAAACACCTCTGGGAGGGTGGCTGGAATGGTGCAGGGACAGAATTGCCCAGTTACAGGAAGCTTACAGCCAAAGAGTTACTAGCCCATAATGCCAGTGCTGGCTACTACTTGATTGCCATCAGGAGCTCATTAACAGGCTAGCCAGCCATTAGCCTTTGGCTAAGGATACCTTCTTGACAGAGGATAAATAGATGTATTTGCAAGTTACATTGTTAGTCCAACCTAATCCTGCTAATCCCTCTTTGTTCCAAATACCAATTACTCATCTGTTGTATTTTAACCAATAGATTTGTTATTTCAGCAAAGGTTATTAACTATTACAGCTAAAACTAATTCAGCCACAAATCCATACATGGCTTGCCATTTCCTGGTCCAGTGTCAGACCCACCTGAAAAGTGTGTTTGTTACAAAGCTCATCCACAGAGGCTGTGCTGTCCTTCTGTACAAATTCTGCTTCTGCTTTGGGCATTAGCACATTAACTAATTTATATTAGTACAAATACCACCGTAACTAAGAGTACTTGGAACAAATGAGAGGAGAGAAAACAAACTGCAAGAGGCAAAACCAAAGAGGAAGAGAGATTAAGGCTCTCAAGTAAAGGCATCTCACCCTGTAGCTACTGGATATCACACTGCAGGTTCCCTGAGCTTGGTTTTACCAGAGGAGACAAAGCCATCACAGCTTGTCACAACTTGAGGAAGGCAGCAGCCTGCAGGTATTAAGTGCTCTCTTTGGTTATTTTTCCACATACAGTAGGTGATAGTGGCAGGGGAAATAACTCATCTCACTGAGCATACAAGGAAAAGCAATTCCTCATCATCACAGCGCAGCCACAGTTTTATATAGTGTTTTACCACGTCCACAGTCTTACAAAACACAAATATGTGGAATAACGCAGGTTGCTTATTTCTTACCTTTCTCCAGATCAGAGACCGTATCACGTGGTGCCCCTTTCTCACAGAATGGTGGAGTTCATGGCTTTCTCTTGGTGGGCTGCAACAACTCCTCTCCCCCTGCAAAAGCCAAACCACCAACTTCCCCTTCCCAGCTCCCTTTTATACCCCCCTGCAGCCCCCGCCACGCTCCCAGGTGTGAGACTGCCATGGTGATGGCTTGTTCTTTAACCCTTCCTTGTCCACATGTCCTGCTCCAAACCATACAACCTTTGCTTAGGGCTTTGACAGGAGTCGTCAAATACGTGTATTTTTTGAGGGGTAATTTGGCGGTATCCTTTTGGAGAGCTGTCCTGAGGCTAAGTCAACACATACGCAGTGCTGACTGGACGTACTGCACTGGCCTTGCTTTCTGTTTCTTTCTGAGCTCCTGACATGTTGGAGAGTGTTTCCTTGCTCAGTGCTTGCACACCTCTTAGACGGGTATTTTCACTAACGTCGTTTCCTGTTGATTCATGTATATAGTGCTCCAGCACTATGTGGAGTGAAAAATGATTCAGTCGGGGTGGTTCCCTTAATGGGTGATCTGTTTTGTAATTTGTACAAAGGAATTTCTCCAAGGAAACTGTTTGCTTTCTTCCCAAACACTTGGTTGCCTAACTCTTAGTGGAACTAAACCTCTGTCTTTATAGCTCATCTCAAAATTGTTTCAACTTGCAATCCAGTTCCCACATCCTCTGTTTGTTCAGCGTTCCCTGGGAAACTCCACCCTCTCTTCCAGCTAATAACCACGTTAACCCGCAGCTCGATATTCCCAGTTTCTCCTTCGCCCGCTCGGCAGCGTTAGCTTTTTCCATTGGCCGCGAGCAGCGATCGTCGGCACGTGGTGGCGTTTGTGCTGGCAGCGGCGTTACAGGAGGCCAAGCAGCTCTTCTGCTTGCTGCGAAGCACGGCATGAGCATGGGGACGGTCCTTTTCCAGTCCAGCAGTTATGGCCAAGAGGGCAAGCTGCTCTGCCGCCTTGGCGAGGAGGCTGCTGAGCCCGGCGCGTTGAGTTTCACAGGTACGATGTTCGGGGATGTGATGCTGTGCCGTCCCTTTCCTGTATTTCTCTGAGCACTTCAGGGATATGGGTCCTTTTGGGTCTATCAATGTCTTTTAGCATGGGCAGGATTTGCTGCCTTTTATCTGGGTTTTAGGGTTATTGGAATGCTTCATTTTTATGAGCAGTTACCCCGTATTTCAGAAACAGAGACTACTTCATCACCTGATGTGATTGAGATATTTCAGATTTAGTGTGTACTCCCTCCGGCTCTTGGACTGAAGAGGTTGGTAACCTCCGTGTGGGCAGCACAGGTTGTGGGGACAAAACACCCCTTACACGTTGGCTGAATAGGAAAAGTGTTCATATCCGGAGAGAAGCAAATTGTATTGTGGGAATGAAGAAAAGGAAGGAGATGGATGGAGCGTAACCTCCTCGCATGACTGTGTGTTACCCGTAGACTAAATGATGATGTAAGTTTTCCCTTGTATAGGAAATGAAAGTGGTGATATATGATTTATGGTTAGCCAAAACAGAATTTCCCAGCTCATTTCCTTACTCCTGGTGTGAATAGAGCTCGCAGACTATTCAGCTGGGGGGTATCGCTGGTGGTACACTTTGGTTATCTTAGTTTCTTTAATGAGGTCTGCACAATTATCATGTTTCACAGACCTTCTGTGTCCTTACATATGGGATGGTACAGATCCTACGCTGCACTGAGCAGTTTGCAATAGGAATTCCTAATTGCAGTAGGAACTTTTCTATCCTGGTAAATCCCCTTTAGTAGATATTTGCAGTTACTTAAGCACCCAAGTCACTCTAAACATGAAGTGAAGGAAGTTAGTGAGACATGAAGTCTTAAAAGCATTTGATTTTTAGGTAATGTGATTTTTAGATAAGCGCTGTAGTTAAGTGACTGAAGCACCTCATCAAACATTAACTTCTGCTGGCTCTTTTTTGTACACAGCGTGGGTGTTACGAACATGTGCCAGACTCCCAGGCATTCCCGAGGAAGCGGTAGTAGCCCCCCATCTGCTTTGTCTCCTAGCTGGCTGTCCAGCACAGCACCTGAAGTGGTTTGGTGTGGGTGCCGGGTGGCACTTCTGCTGGTGTTGCCTGGGCCACAGTGCCCGCTGCTGGGCTCGGCGTGGGCAGGCTGAGCTGGCCATGGCATGTGCTGCGGCAGCTCTGAAACTGGGCTGACAGGAGGCTGCTGCATGGTTAAATGCTTAATTAACCGTGCTCTCTGGTAATAGGGGTTGGATGCTCAGTCCATGAGCTTTCCTGGCCTGGAAAGAAACTTAAAGCATGCTTTGATTTAGAACAAAAGCGTATATTTTTGTTCTAAGCCTTTCACCTTTCTGCAGATACATAATTAAAAGTTGGAAGTTATTTAAACACCATGAAAGTATTTTGGAGCTGCGAGGTCAGGGGAAACACAGCCTACTTTTGTGTTTGCTCCTGAGCAGGGATGTGTAAGGTGGATTTCTTGTATAGCCCATTTGCTGAGTGACTTTGCTTCGGGCACTGAAACGCTTTCTCTGAGACAAGTCACTGTAGGAGTGTAAAGAATGTATTATTTAATCACATATGTATTTTTGCTCCATAAAGAGAGCTGGGTTTAGGAACTGGTATTCTTTCCTGGTGCTTAACAACCGAGCATGCATATGCACACACACAGCCCTAAGAAGTGACAGTGGGATGTTGGCAGCTGTGCTGTAATGTAGGTAGCTCAGCAGGCATTGGGATCTCCTCTTTTTTCTGTGAAAGCACCCAATCTGATGAGTTCTTGTGTTGTAAAACTAATTGCAGTTGATGGTTAGGAACACAAAGTGTATGTAAATACTGTATCTGCAGATATTGAAAGGAAAAAGGGACATTTTGGTAGCTTAATCTCTAGTCAGTTCTTGCTAGGAGAACCTTGATAGGGTGCTGCTACTTTGGCAAGGGAGGTAGGTTATGAAGTCATTGCAGGATGAGCAGGTTATGCAAGCACGCTAACTCTGGATGATTACCAGAAATGTAGTCAAAAGCCATTTAGCTGCGTGTTTAAAAACAAAGCATACCAAACCTCAACCTCATACTTTCTCATGTACCTACAATACAGTAAAAAACTTGCGTGTAGCTGCTGGGAACCCTGCTACGTCCTCGTTTTCCAGGCTTGAGTTCTGTCCTGTGACACAGATTTGGCATATGTTTGCCTGTTACTTGGCACAGGCCTCTTCCTGTTTTATGTCTCGCTGACTTCCCAGTTTTCCTGTTCCATGTTGCCTTTGAGCTCTTTGTTCTCCTTTAAAGCGCCTTATAGACTGGCTCTCACGCATGGATGTACATCTCAGGGGAGTGCGGGAGGGGGGTATTACAGACGTTCTCTGGCAGCAAGTCTGCTTAAGAAGATCCTCAGCCTGACTTCTCAGCCCCGCAGAAATGGGCCAAAGCAATGATTGTAAAGTGGTTTTTTTATGTTTGGTGCATTTAATTAAATCTTTTTACAGTGAATTTCCGTAAGTAAGTTCAACAAGAGAATTTAGAAATACATATTGGGACAGGAACGTACGTCAGTTGTGCTATCACAGAAAATGCTTACATCTTTACGCCTTCGTATTTTTTTTGCCCCCCTTGAGCAGCCCACATGTATGAAACCACATCATCACTTTCTGTCATCTTAACATTGAAATTTATTCTGCTACATGTTCTTGGAAAACGTCTCTGTGAGTCAGAAAGCCAGTGATGGTCCTGGTACAGCACTGCCATGAGGCATTCACACAGTTTTGCATTTTACTACAGTTCTTTCCAAAACCCTGTGGATTTAGATTGATTTTCATCATATTGGGAACTGTGCGGACATTTTTATCTGTAAAACAGATCGGATTCCCGCCGCATTCCCTTGTGCTGTCAAGTCTGCATCAGTTGTCCTTTGAAACAGAACTGCCTTGGGCATTCAGAAACACTGCTGCTAAATACCATCACCCTTACTACTTTCTGCCCCTGTCACTCTTCCACCTCTTATTTACGTAGTCTTGGAATGTATTACAAATCACCATCTTTGCTGATACTGAATCAGTTACTTTCCCAACCAACAGATCTCATTTGTGGCATAATTCAGCCTGTCTTACCTGTGCTTATAAAGTCAGTTCCAGGTTCAGGCTGTCTACTTCAGCCACAGAAACAATAAAGACATAAGCCATAATATTTGAGTCTTGAAAGGTTTCCTTCACTACTTCACATAATTAAAAACCCCCATCTCACCCATTTTTTTTATCTGTGAATTCTGAAATACTTGCAAATAGAGGGTGTATATAAACAGAAGTATATATAATACAATAAATATTAAATAGAAATTTTATATATACATAGCTTGCTACTTGGTATATAGGCAGTAATTCACCTTCTGCAGCTGCTATTAGGAGTAACCTGTAGAATGAAGAGTCAAGAAAGTAGGGATTGAAAACCATGAATCTAAGATGTGCAGACGTGGTGATCCCTTCCCATTAAGAGTATATTCATAGAAGCACAGAACGGTTTGGGTTGAAGGGGTCCTGAAAGATAATCCAGTCCCACCCCTGCCATGGGCAGGGACACCTTCCACTAGACCAGGTTGCTCCAAGCCTCATCCAGCCTGGCCTTGGACACTTCCAGGGATGGGGCATCCACAGCTTCTCTGGGCAACCTGTCCCAGTGCCTCCCCACCCTCTCTGGGAAGAATTTCTTCCTGATATCTAATCTAAACCTCCCCACTTTCAATTTAAACCCGTTACCCCTTGTCCTGTCACTACAGGCCCTTGTAAAAAGTCCCCCCCAGCTTCCTTGTAGCCCCTTCAGGCACTGGAAGGTGCTATAAGGTCTCCCCGGAGCCTTCTCTTCTCCAGGCTGAACACCCCAACTCTCCCAGCCTGTCCCCATGGCAGAGGGGCTCCAGCCCTCGGAGCACCTCCGTGGCCTCCTCTGGACTGGCTCCAACCAGTCTATATCCTTCTGATGTTGGGGGCCCAGAGCTGGACGATTGAATATTCAGAGCTGAGCGTTGCGCAGTAGGATCTTCACTCTGCTGTACACTGGGCTTTGATCTATTTACAGTTGTACACAAAGTAATTTCCCCTTCTCCTCTTTCTCCAGAGGCCCTGCACCGCCCCTATGGCTGCGATGTTGAACCCCAGGCACTGAATGAAGCCATCAGATGGAGCTCCAAGGAGAACCTGCTTGGAGCCACTGAGAGCGATCCCAATCTCTTCGTTGCACTTTACGATTTTGTAGCAAGCGGTGACAACACACTCAGCATCACCAAAGGTAAAGCTGTGACTCACAGAGCACCTCCTGGGTTGAAAACTTCCTAACAGAAAATAGAAAGCAGACTCTCTCTCCTGTCGTTACATTGGAAGGAATGGGAACGAGTGCCGTTAGAGATTATTCTCCGAAGGGATAGCTATGAGCAGACCGTCTGTCTCTTGCTTGTGCTGGGGGGACACCTGCAGGGCATTCCTCCTAGGACAGACACAGCCTAGCCCAGCTTGCTGTTCCTGTTCTAGACTCCCCAAATCATCAGCCCTTTGAGACACCTATTTTGAGGAGGGTCAGAGGAAAACTTTATTATTGGTGATAACAGAATTCAGCACTTTCAGCTGAGGCACAATGAAGAATTTCACAGACGTTTTCTGTTCTGTTCATACGTATATCAGGATATGTTCTACTGCTGAACTGTTGTAAATCATATGCCATTTAAGGCTTCAGTGAGGAGACAAACCTCATCCCTCCAAGAAAAAAAAGTCTTTCTTGTTTAAAAAGCTGGACAACAGGAAGCTTTCTGAGTTTTATCAATCACACTACAGCAAATTAGGGAACAGTATCCTAGGTATTCTGTCTGAAACTTCATAAATGTTTTATACATAGCAGTTCAATTACAAGATCACTGCTGCAGATTTTTATAGTTAAGCTGCAAACCCAGCCTTGGTCAATGAGACCTCAATAATTACACTGCACTTACTGTCTTCCTGCTCATAGGTGAGAAGTTGCGAGTCCTGGGTTACAACCAGAATGGTGAATGGAGTGAGGTACGTTCGAAGAATGGGCAGGGCTGGGTACCAAGCAACTACATCACGCCAGTAAACAGCCTGGAAAAGCATTCCTGGTACCACGGGCCAGTGTCACGCAGCGCAGCAGAGTATCTCTTGAGCAGTCTCATCAATGGCAGCTTCCTGGTTCGGGAAAGCGAGAGCAGCCCAGGGCAGCTATCCATCTCGCTCAGGTACGAAGGACGTGTTTACCACTACAGGATCAACACCACCTCCGATGGAAAGGTGAGGATCTCTGCATAATGCTGTGGGGAGAGGAAATAAGGATGTTAATTAAGAAGTGCTGCAGACTCTCAAGTTGCAGACCATGAAGAGAGGGGTGTATGTGAGAGAAAACAGGTCCAGTGGTTGATCAATATAAAAAAAGAACATGTATGCCAAGCGTTTGGTGGTAACTCACGGAACATCGCTTCTGAAGAGGCGCAGATGGTAGTTACCCTGCAGGAAAGCAGCTAGGGAGCAAAGCAGTTGTGGTTTGATGTCATATCTTCCCACTGATCCACTTAGAACAAGCAGAGCTTTGGTAAGTCAGCAGTTTGGATCAGCATTTTGAAACCTTGATCGAGGAGCAGTACAGTGTGTTGAGTGATGCAGAAACTGGCTTTGTGCTTGGCTACAAGAAATCTAGTTTCTAGTCCGGTAAAGCACGAGGCAGGAGACAGCAGCGCTCTCAAGTGCTGGCTTATGTCTAGCTGCCTTCTGCAGGTGGAAATCCCACAGATTAATATTTGTCCAACAACATGAGAACAAATACTCTAAAGTCTGTTTCCCTTACCTCTTTTTTTTTAAATAACCCACTAAAATGTTTTTACTGTGCCTGTTTTCCAGTATTACGGAAAGCTTCCAGCTGCCTTCATTTAAGTAGATTCCTGGTTCGTTCCTAACAGGTATATTTCAGCACACTGGCAGAGCTAGTGCACCATCACTCAACAGTAGCAGACGGACTGGTGACAACTCTGCATTACCCAGCACCCAAGTGCAATAAACCCACCGTCTACGGCGTGTCCCCGATCCACGACAAGTGGGAGATGGAGCGGACCGATATCACCATGAAGCACAAACTTGGGGGAGGGCAGTATGGCGAGGTGTACGTTGGTGTCTGGAAGAAATACAATCTCACAGTTGCTGTGAAAACCTTAAAGGTGAGTTTTTCAGGTTGTTACGCACCGTTCGTTTGCTCACCATTTATGATGAGGGTGAGGAAATCTTAACGTTCTCAGTCATACCTCCTAAAAATGGGATGTGAGCTGCATAAAATCCATGCTTGAGAGTAGCTTTGCAGAACAAAGTTAGCACCAGTGCATGTGGCTTAGAAACAGTTTGGAGTTTCGTCCCAGCAAGCCCCTGCAGGAATGTCCTAGTCAGATCTGTAGAGATGGTGATCAACTATACTTACC